AAACAAAATACAAGACAGCAGTAGCACAAAAAACTAGACAGCATGAAACTAAACATACTAGCGCGTAGCACTAAATTACTAGACAGCATTAGCACTAAACATACTAGACAGCAATAGCACTAAACATATTAGACAGCAATAGCACTAAACATACTAGACAGCAATAGCACTAAACATACTAGACAGCAGTAGCACTAAACATATTAGACAGCAATAGCACTAAACATACTAGACAGCAATAGCACTAAACATACTAGACAGCAGTAGCACTAAACATACTAGACAGCAATAGCACTAAACATACTAGACAGCAATAGCACTAAACATACTAGACAGCAGTAGCACTAAACATACTAGACAGCAGTAGCACTAAACATACTAGACAGCAATAGCACTAAACATACCAGACAAACTGAACTGGTCTTGTGCTGCACTACTGCACATTCATTTGTTTTCGATGAAGAAAGAGATAACATTGTTATATCTTAATTCGTGGGGAGGGGACTGGTAAATTCAGAATGATCATATAGCACACGGGGGTTTGGCAAGCAATGCGGAACCATTCAAGAAAAAGAAAGTCGGGTTCAGTTTCTTGACTCAAGACTTCCTTGCCGGCAAGGCGAAGAGTCCCATACTTGAGGAGCTTTCACCGCAGAGAAATACCTCCTACAGTGCTCCTTTTTCTTGTCCTTAGACTTACTCCACTTCTACTTCCACTACGACTGCCACTCCTTTACTACTATTTCTACCCTTTTGTATGTATTGTGGCAAAAGCTACTCCCTCTACTTACTACTACCGCTACTACTTATTATGTCCATATTCTCCACTACGAGGCTATTCCAGTGTGACCGATGTTTTCATGGAAAGCTGGTCTAGCTGAGGAGCCTGTAAGAGTATCCCACAGCCTGGCTCATTCAGTGAAATTAGGGCTGTGAACCTCAATATTATGACTGAGGCAGCCAAAGAGACTACCTTTTAGTTTGCTAGACGATATCTGTACATGGCTTGTACTCTGAAGGTTAGGTGGGGGTGATGCAGTTAGGAGTTTCGTTGAACTCCTGGTACGAGAATTATATATTTAATTGATTTATTTTACTCTTTCCTATTCATTAACGTACTTTTCTAACATGACCTTCTTCCTCCGGCAGTCACTGAAAAAGTTAAGTCACGCCAACGTGGTGAAGCTAAAGGAAGTGATCAGGGAGAACGACACTCTCTATTTTGTCTTCGAGTACATGAAGGAGAACCTCTACCAGCTCATGAAATCTAGGTGGGTATGGTGGTGATGAAATGAATGGTGGCAAAGTGATGGCACCTGGTGGCATAGTGACCCAATCCTGGCATGAGCCATTGCACTGAGATAAAGTCTTGTAGCTATCAATACTTATGACGTTTAATAAATATTGGTCAGTTTGGATGATTATTATTTCTCAAGTAGAGATAAAACGGTATATGATAATAAACCTTAATGCTTAATTTGCTGATTCGAGAAAGTGGTCCATAACAGCATAACAAATCCACCAACTAAACAGTATATGAGTGAATACCAACAACCTAATGGACACAATACGACCCGCTATCCAGACGTGAGCCGCCCGTTTGTCTTATTAAGGTATTGTCAGCAGTACAAAAACTTTAGTTTAATTTATATAATCCTAACATCGAGTATTATATATTAGTGCTATACAAAACCAACAAGTATATGTATAAGACGCTTGTGCAACACTTGGGTACCTTCATCGTAGAGACATTTGATCAGACATTGGCCTTATCAGTCAAGAACATAGAATAATACTGGAGACAGTGGAAGGTATGAAGAAATAGTTTGAGGTGATCAGTCCCTCAGTCTTGAAGCAACTATTGCAGACCGTGGAAGGTATGAAGAAATAGTTTGAGGTGATCAGTCCCTCAGTCTTGAAGCAACTATTGCAGACTGTGGAAGGTATGAAGAAATAGTTTGAGGTGATCAGTCCCTCAGTCTTGAAGCAACTGTTGCAGACTGTGGAAGGTATGAAGAAATAGTTTGAGGTGATCAGTCCCTCAGTCTTGAAGCAACTATTGCAGACTGTGGAAGGCATGAAGAAATAGTTGTGTTCAGTTTCTCAGTTTTGAAAGATGTTTAGTCCATCTCGATGATTCTATTTCTTTATGTCTTCTAATATCTCCAGTGTTAGTCTCCAAACTGGACTGATAAAACCATTGATGAGCGAAACGTCTCCACAATAGATACTCAAGTATTGCACATTTCTTGTTTATCTGACCTAGAATAGCCAATTCTTTTTTTGTAGTTTTTCAGACCGGGCAGAAAATAACGAGCTGAAATTCTTTAAGAAAATAACCGCTCTATTTGGAGGCCATGTTGTTAATGTGACCACCAGAGGCCTCCCCGGGAAATTTTACCATATTATTATTCTATTCACGTGGGAAAGCGATAAACCCTGAGGCGTTATGCAGCGCACTGAGAATGGAAAATAATCAGATTTGATTCAAGGAAGGAGAGGATATCTAGGTCCACCCCACCATGTACTGTAATTATAACCTCGGGGTTTAAATGTGATATGAAATCTCTCTTAAGTTACACAAACCGTATAAACCAACACTAAATAATGAAGATAAAAAAGGAGGAACACTGTAGCAGGACTACTGGCTCATACTTGGCAAGTCCTTGTCAAACCTAAACCCGCTAAAAAATATTCGCCCAGCCCATTATCAATGTTACCCAAGGAATAAATAAGTTTTTTAAAACCCCTTTTAAACCCAATGCAAGTTCCACTCAGACCCAACCCCCCCCGTCTCACTCATGCTTTTAAACTAACCTGTTTTCGGACCCCTAAGTTTTTTGTTTAAGTAGTTTTTAAATATGTAGACCCTCCGTATACCCCAAAATTGTGATGAGGTATTTGGCTTAACCGATGTATTCACTAGCCCACAAGTATGCAAAATGATAATGATGTTATATATAAATCCCCCTATCCTAACGGCCTTCACAAAGAAAGAGACAAATATCTCACCGTCAGAGAGTTCACAACATCTCGTTGTAAAAAATTTGACTTTTGGTTGGGGGTTTATTGATTAAAAAACATTCTCTGGATGATTTTTCGTTTACAGTTGGAAATATGACACAGTGTAATCTTCATTATATTTAAAAAGATATAAAGTTACCCCAAGTCAGTAAGCAAGACACACATGTCCAACACTTAGCATGTGTCTTATTCGTCGTCCCTCGAACATCCACCTTCCATGTTGCAGGGAGAAGCACTTTACGAGGCAGCGGTAAAGAACATAGTGTGTCGGGGCTGCAGGGGGCTGGGCCTTTATGCAAGACATGGGTTTCTTCCACCAGACAGAAGCCTGAGAACCTCCTCTGTATGGGCCCGGGGACCCTCGTAAAAGATCGCGGGATTTGGGGGGACTGGCGGGGGAAAAACGGGTCGCGCCCCCCTACACGGGACAAAACGCCCCTCAACCAGAGGGTTTAGTGAAACGAGTAAATTGTGCTCAAACACAGAATATACGTACTTTTAATATTTTAAAAAACAGAAACCCATTGAAGGTTTTAATAGTAAAAGTTGTTTTTTTTTTATTGTTTTGAAATTTAGTAGAAAAGCAGTGGGAATACTATTAGTATAATAGCATATTTAAAAATATTAGTATAATAGAATTTTTCAGAGAATACTAAACAGGAAAACCGTAAAACGCAAAAAATTTTTTTCGCGTTTTTTTACGCAAGTGTTTTAAAGCAACACTGTCAAAAAACCGTTGTCAGAACAAAAAACCTGCCCCCTAGAAGCCCCCCCCCCCTCCCAGGTATTCACAAGCCCCTCCCTCCCGGGTTTATTTTCCCCAAGCCTCCTCCCCCCCCAGGTCTTTTCAGGGTTGTTATATACTGTATCATTTTTTTTTGGTCTTTTTTTACGTGGGGGGGGAAAACCAATGTGTTTTGGTCCCACCCCCCCCCGCCCATAAAAATTATCACTGGGGTTAAAGCACCCCTTTTTCCAACCGGGGGGTTTGGGAAAGGATGAGTTTTTTTGCGATTTTTGGTGCAAGGGGAAACTTTTGGGGGGGGAATTGGGGGGTTGGAGTGGGGGATCTTCAAGGACGAACGGGGGGTTGGGGTGGTTTCGCACCCCTTCCCATTTGGGGTATTTGGGAAAGGGCAGTCCTGCGGGGAAGAGTAAGGTGGAGTGAGGAAAAATTTTATATATATATATATATATATATATATATATATTATATATAAAATTAAAATTATATATTTATATATATATATATAAAATAAAATATATATAAAATAGGGAAGTCCAAACCTCTATAGCGGAAGGGGAAACCCTTCTTTCCCCCAAGAAGACAATAAAACCCAAAAAAAACTCAAGGTTCCCCCCCGGAGCTGTTTGAATATTTTCTTCTCCTACCACCCCCTTACATATTTTTTATTCTAGTGGCATTTATTAATAAACAAAATACATTTACGGGAAAAAAAAACATAAACATAAAATAAAAGGGCCCAAAAAGGATAAAAAGAGGATGAATTTCCCCCAGTCCCCCCGAGGCTGGACGGGGACCCCCAAAGTATGCAGAAGCTTTCCCATTTTGGATGGCGACGCTGAGGGGGCTGGAACATGAAAGTGGCCGCCCTTTTGGGGCCCCGGTTTGTCGATGAGTCCTGGGAAACCCCAAATTCCTTTAAGGAAAAAGTGGGGGCATTTTTTTTCCCCCCTGATCCCAAGGGCTTGATCCCACTGGGACAAATTGATACTGTTGGCCCAATGTCCCTGTACTTTTCTGATTTTTGTACTCCTTTTCCCCGTGGCAGGGAGCTCCTTCCCCGTCGCCCCCCACTGTGATGGATAAGGTGTCACCAGTGTGGGGCACACAGGGATAGTCCCCCGCAAAAGCCCTTTCCATCTTCCAAGGATAGATGGGGATCCCGTCGGGGGGGGTTTGCTGGGTTTTGGGTATTGTTTGCTGAAGTGATCGTGGCCCCTTCGGCAGGGCATCCAGCTGTAGCAAGGGTTTTCTTTAAAGATGTCGTTGACCTCATTGTGTCTTGCTTTCCACCCTTGGTTTTGGAAAAGTTAAGACCCTGTAGGGCCGTATTGGTCTGCTTTTCACTTCGCCCCCAAAACACATATATTCTGTGTGGGAAATGGGGCGCAAGCGCAGAGCCACTGCAAAAAAACGGAGGGGCTTAAAGGGGCGAGGTTTGCGTTCCCCAAATTTCCGGGTATGGGGGAAATGTTTGGAGGGAAATTCCCCCCGGAAATGAAAGTGGGCACTCACAGCCTGGAGAACCCGGGGAATCTCCCTGTTTATGTTTCAGGCCCCGAGCATGTTGGCAAGCACCCTTTTTTTAGCAATTTTGGGGTATCCCAGCTTGACTTTTGTGAGCCAGTGCTTTCACTTGGGTTTTGGGGCTGGAGCAGCAAGAGGCTCCCATTCGGTGATGGCACTGACATAGCTAGGGTCTTCTATTCCTGCTGAGTCACTGAGGGTGTCAGGAAGAATTTGTCTTATCAACTCGTTTGATGCAATGGAAGAGGATAGGAAAGCTGGTAGAGCAATCTGGGAGGATCTGCGTACTCCTAGCCCTCCAAGCCTGACCGGAAGTGAGGCTTGCAACCACTGTCCATCGTCAAGGGAAAGATTCAATACACTCTCTAGCATGGCCTTCAGGAGAGAGTCATATTCCTTGAGTTTTGGACTGCTGAAGGCTGGGGAGCATCTCAGAAAATAGGTAAGTTTTGGGGTTGACAGGCACCTGGTGAGTAGGTAGAAGGCATCATGTGTGTCAATGTCTTTCATCCTGCTTTCCATCGTCCGGAGGTCTGAGACTTTTTTTCCTACGATCAGATCGATGGCATTGGACCCAAGAGGAGCACCGAGGAGAGTGCTATTGGCTGGATCAATGGCTCGTGCTCCTGGTAAAACGGTACTAATATTCTGGATGATCTGTTGATTGGTAGAAACTATTTCACATTTGGTGGGGTTTAAAGAAAGGCCCAGGCTTTCTCCCATGTCTTTAATTTTACTGATGTCCTCCAGGAGAGATTCTGTTGTGCCAGCTAGGGTACCGTCGTCCAGGAACCAGATATTGAGCTCGCTGGAGAGTGCCTCCGTGACTTCCTTGATGACCAAACAAAATAGAAAGGGGGCGAGAGGGTCCCCCTGTTGCACGCCCTCACACGAGTCAATTTCATGGTCCCCAAACAATAGTTTGGAAGTCACACTATAACACGATTCTATGAAGGGATAAAGGGAAGGAAAGTTTCTATAAACTGCTTGGAGAGCAGCATCCCTTCTGACTGAGTTGAAAGCATTGGCAAAGTCCAATTTGACCAAGGCTTTTTCATAGGATATGTTTTTGATATATACTCGTGCTGCGTGGGCAGCTGCTTCACAGCCCTGTTGAACGCCGAAACCGAGCTGAGTTGGTTTCAGCATTGCAGCAGCCTCTTGACTCACCCTTCTTACTGCAGCCTTGGCGACTAGGCGCCGAAGGGTGTTACCCACTGCAATGGGCCTGATTCCCCCATCCTTTTTCCGGAGGGCACACAATGAGGCACCAAAGAAAAAGGGTCTGATGGCCTCTGGGACACCGCCAGCCAGGCACAGGTTGGAAAATTTGGTGAGTTCAGACAGCAGCCTCTCTGAAACCTCACCAAATTATATATATATATATATATATATATATATATATATATATATATATATATATATATATATATATATATATATATATATATATATATATATATATATATATATATATATATTATTATTATCACACTGGCCGATTCCCACCAAGGCAGGGTGGCCCGAAAAAGAAAAAAATTCACCATCATTCACTCCATCACTGTCTTGCCAGAAGGGTGCTTTACACTACAGTTTTTAAACTGCAACATTAACACTCCTCCTTCAGAGTGCAGGCACTGTACTTCCCATCTCCAGGACTCAAGTCCGGCCTGCCGGTTTCCCTGAACCCCTTCATAAATGTTACTTTGCTCACACTCCAACAGCACGTCAAGTATTAAAAACCATTTGTCTCCATTCACTCCTATCAAACACGCTCACGCATGCCTGCTGGAAGTCCAAGCCCCTCGCACACAAAACCTCCTTTACCCCCTCCCTCCAACCTTTCCTAGGCCGACCCCTACCCCGCCTTCCTTCCACTACAGACTGATACACTCTTGAAGTCATTCTGTTTCGCTCCATTCTCTCTACATGTCCGAACCACCTCAACAACCCTTCCTCAGTTCTCTGGACAACAGTTTTGGTAATCCCGCACCTCCTCCTAACTTCCAAACTACGAATTCCCTGCATTATATTCACACCACACATTGCCCTCAGACATGACATCTCCACTGCCTCCAGCCTTCTCCTCGCTGCAACATTCATCACCCATGCTTCACACCCATATAAGAGCGTTGGTAAAACTATACTCTCATACATTCCCCTCCTTGCCTCCAAAGACAAAGTTCTTTGTCTCCACAGACTCCTAAGTGCACCACTCACCCTTTTCCCCTCATCAATTCTATGATTCACCTCATCTTTCATAGACCCATCCGCTGACACGTCCACTCCCAAATATCTGAATACATTCACCTCCTCCATACTCTATCCCTCCAATCTGATATCCAATCTTTCATCACCTAATCTTTTTGTTATCCTCATAACCTTACTCTTTCCTGTATTCACTTATATATACAGAGAGAGAGGGGATGGGAAGGATAGGTAGCGACTCTGTATAACAGTTGTTAGGGCTAACAGGTTCAGCCAGGTGCTGCCTTAACGTTGTTTACGTCTTAACGCTTCACTTCCTTCAGTAGTGTGAATCTTACCAACTTTGTGATTGTTTCTACGATTACCCTAAAAAAAAAAAACTTTCACACTAATATAAAACTGATCCTTGTAGAAAAATTGGAACATGTCAAAATAAGGCATTATATGCCGCCTCGAAGTCTATTTCTGACACTGGTTTTCAGTTTCTTTTCAGAGAAGTTAACTGTTTTCCCCTCACACAGGTATCGGGCACCTGAGGTATTACTGCGATCCAACACCTACAGTAGTCCCATCGATATTTGGGCCATGGGAGCCATCATGGCTGAAATATACACGTTCAGGCCGCTTTTCCCTGGTTCCTCTGAGATTGATCAGATTTTCAAAATCTGCTCAGTGATCGGTACTCCTGACAAGGTAGGAATGGATTATTATTGTTATTATTATTATTATTATTATTATTATTATTATTATTATTATTATTATTATCATCATCATCATCATCATCATATTCATGGAGAATTGCTAAACCCATGTGGTTTATTCATCGCCTGGGGAATGGAAAGTAATTACGTTTGATCCAAGGAAGGAAAGCTTAATTGCTTGACTTACAAACTTATCGCCATCATCAAGGCAGCCTCTAAAAGGACACTTTCTTTTATAAGTACAGTATATAACTGGTAACTTAACCTTTAATTTAAGAAGTCTGTCTTAAACACACTGAAAATAATTTAATATAATTCACAGCAATGCAACTATACATTTACCTTCATTATACTCCAGCTGACAAATATTTATGTCCCTGGCAGCGTGACTGGTCAGAGGGCTACTCCCTGGCGCAACAGATGAACTTCAAGTTCCCTCAGTTCTCGGCCACACCTCTGGCCAGCCTCATTCCCAACGCTTCTCCCGATGCTATACAGCTGATGACCGAGATGCTACGATGGAACCCAGCACGCAGACCCAACGCTCAGCAGTGTCTCAGGTGAGCGTTGGTCTCCTGGTTAGGTGTTTCAGGTGAGAACAGAACACCTAGTTAGGTGTTTCAAGTGAGAACAAGGCATTTAGTTAGGTGTTTCAGGCGAGAAAAGGGCACCTAGTTAGGTGTTTCAGGTGAGAACAAGGCACCTAGTTAGGTGTTTCAGATGAGAACAGGGCACCTAGTTAGGTGTTTCAGGTGAGAACAAGGCACCAAGTTAGGTGTTTCAGATGAGAACAGGGCACCTAGTTAGGTGTTTCAGGTGATAACAAGGCACCAAGTTAGGTGTTTCAGATGAGAACAGGGCACCTAGTTAGGTGTTTCAGGTGATAACAAGGCACCTAGTTACGTATTTGGGGTGAGAACAGGGCACCTGTTTAGATGGGACACGAATAGTGTATAATACCGACAAAATGAAAAATTAGACAAATGTACAAAATCTGGGTAACTTAAAGATACCCATATGTTGTACGTGTGTGTAATTCATCTTAAAGATACCCAGATATAGCACATGTGTCTAATTCTTTAACCCGGTTAGGTTTAGTAGGTGAGCATAGGTAACTTAGTTAGGTGTCTCAGGTGAGAACAGGTAACTTAATTAGTTGTCTTAGGTGAGCATAGGTCGCCTAAGGCGGTGTCAAGTGACCGCAGTTCACCTGAAAGAATAAAAATAATATATATATATATATATATATATATATATATATATATATATATATATATATATATATATATATATATATATATATATATATATATATATATATATATATATATATATATTTACTTATACAAGAGGAGGGGCGGGGCCGGGAACAGTAGAAGAGGAAGTTCAAATCGGGCCAAAACGTCGCCATAAGTTTTATTTTCCTATATTTCGAATATCAGATGACGTTTCACTTCAAAGGAAGGTATCACCAGTAAAGGACTGGTTGACACTCATTTCCCATTCAAAGATGAGTCGACGAGCGGGTAAAAAGTGACTTGGTTGCAGTACAAACCATCTGTTGCTGCATCATTAATGTTTATTTCTACAAGCACATAATACAACTTATACAAACCAAATCTGACATTAATTACGTACTACATAGAAAGTCACTTGTTCTGCAGAGCATTTCGTGAAAATTAGGTGAGTTTTGTCCCAGGATGCGACCCACACCAGTCGACTAACACTCAGGTACCCACTTACTGCTAGGTGAACAGGGACAGCAGGTGCCTTATGGAAACACGCCCCAATATTTTCACCCATACCCGGGATCGAACCACGGACCTCAATGTGTGAGTTGAGTGAACTAGCAACAGAGCTTAGATTATGGCTTATATTCAGTGAGTTCATTATCCCTGTTCCTGTTCTTGGTGAATTTTCATTGTCTTCACGTAGCTTTCGATACTTTACTTACAAACTCTTGCGAGTAATTTGAATAGTATCAGGCAGTGACCATTTCCAAATCTTTGTCAATAATACCTAGAATTTGCTGCACTTTCTTCATCTTGTGCATCAATGCAGCGATTTTGTTACACAGTTAAGGTATATTTCACGATATAATATAATAATATTGTGATATAAAATCAGAAGTCACGAAATGTAGCAACTGTAGAGTCATTTCTTACTTTATTTAGCGTCAGGATTAAGTAATTCTTCAGTTTCATTATATGTCTTCAACAAAAATTTAATACTCACTCGTAAGTGGTTGTGGTAGTGTGAATATTAATATAAAAGTTATTTATGTTAATGTATGTGTTGATGGGTCACCTGAGTGCGCAACTGTCTTACTGTTGATGGGTCACCTGAGTGCACAACTGTCTTACTGTTGATGGGTCACCTGAGTGCACAACTGTCTTACTGTTGATGGGTCACCTGAGTGCACAACTGTCTTACTGTTGATGGGTCACCTGAGTGCGCAACTGTCTTACTGTTGATGGGTCACCTGAGTGCACAACTGTCTTACTGTTGATGGGTCACCTGAGTGCGCAACTGTCTTACTGTTGATGGGTCACCTGAGTGCACAACTGTCTTACTGTTGATGGGTCACCTGAGTGCACAACTGTCTTACTGTTGATGGGTCACCTGAGTGCACAACTGTCTTACTGTTGATGGGTCACCTGAGTGCGCAACTGTCTTACTGTTGATGGGTCACCTGAGTGCGCAACTGTCTAACTTTTGTAGATGAATGGCTCAGAGAACCGACACGTTGATAAATTAGACACATGTGCAACTCTTGGGTATCTTTATTAAGGAAACGTTTCGCCACACAGTGGCTTCATCAGTCCATACAAAGGAGAAGCTTGAAGAGGAGGAGAATGAGGTAATCAGTCCCTCAACCTTGAATCGATGTGGTCAGTCCATCAATCTTGAATAGAATACGGTATATGAGCAGAGAAGCAGCTTATAAACCGTAGGCAGGAGAGGTGCAGCAGACGTAGGTGATGTCACATTTGTCCAATGTGGAAGTAGGTCGTGCCCAAGCCTGTCAGACACTGCAACTTCTTGGGATCTTAATACCTGGGAATTCTTCGCTTGCCTAACCCTTGGGCACGACCTACTTCCACATTGGACAAATGTGACACCACCTACGTCTGCTGCACCTCTCCTGCCTACGGTTTATAAGCTGCTTCTCTGCTCATATACCGTATTCTATTCAAGATTGATGGACTGACCACATCGACTCAAGGTTGAGGGACTGATTACCTCATTCTTCTCCTCTTCAAGCTTCTCCTTTGTATGGACTGATGAAGCCACTGTGTGGCGAAACGTTTCCTTAATAAAGATACCCAAGAGTTGCACATGTGTCTAATTTGTCTTACTGTTGATGGGTTACCTGAGTGCGCAACTAACCGTCGCCATATCTCCTCAGATTCCCTTTCTTCAAGGACTTCAAGGTAGATGCCAACACCTTGTCATATTCCATGAGTAAGGTGCGGATCAGCGAACCTATCTCCCAGGATGATGCTAACGCGTAAGTGTAATATTAAGTCTTGTTTTCAGCAGCGCCGTTACTGATATATTGATAGTTAAAATATCCGTACTGAGGTATGCCAATTTACAGAAATTTAACCATAACGTTACAGAGTTTTATGAAATGAAAAGAAAGTATTATAAGTTTTGACTATCTGGGCTGCCTTTAAAGCTTTAGTATGTGAATTTTAGTTTTGGTGCAAAATTGACGTTGACAAATTTTGCAGTTTCATTTCTCTGCCTTCTTGGGATAGGGAACATCTTCAAATGCTCCAAACTATAATGTAAATTCTTTATATTGATGCCTTATGTCTCTTGGTTCTTCCAGAGGCGGAAGTAAGAACGACATCGGCGCCATCCTAGTAGGCGGAGCCGGCGGCATGCGAGGAGGTGGGAAACCCATCAACAAAATGTCTGGTGTTAATGATAACAGAATGCAGAATGGATACTTGCACCGCACTAAGATCAACCTTGACCTCGACTCTGGCACGAGAAGCTACGACCTGGCTCCCCCAAATCCCACTCAACCATTGCGGCCCCCCGGGCGCCGCCTGGGAGGGGTCGAGCCTTCCTTGAACAATATACGAACCAGAGGAAATCAACCTAAAACCTTTATACCCAGTGGGTTCGACACGAATACTAAAAACATTGAAGAAAATAACTTATTGCCAAACACCAAGCATTGGTCATCAATACGCGACCCACCTAACGACAACAAATATACAGAATTTGAAGAAAATAAAACTAATAGTTTTGGGAACTTGAGTAAGTAAAGGGGCACTGAGGACCTGTGGTCCATGGAAGACTAAGACGGGGGTGAAGGTGGGAAGGAGACACTTCAAGTAATTTGTTATCGTTCATTGATCTCTCTGGCTTCTACACATCTACCAAGTTTGAAACAAAACTTCAGCATCAGCTGAAGAATTTGTAAGCACTCGTTCTGCTTTTATTAACAAATGATAGAGTGTATATAAGAGCATTGATGGTACAGATGCAGGCTACTTGTAGCGTCTCCAGTATGTAGATGTATGATCGGTATCATATCTCTTACATGTCTTATGTACATATGTCCGTCCAGCTGGTCTAGTAGTTGCTAAAAGCACTTACTTCCTCATAGCTTGCAACGTAGCCTAATTTATTAATTATTTTACTTCGTATGAGTATTTAGCAATTAACTTCTCGAGTAATTATTTGTCATACAAACAGGAAATGTAATTTACAATACACAGTGTGACTTATTTTTGTCAGTCCTCTGCTTTATATTTGTGTGTGTTTATTTACAAATAATTTGATATGCTTCTCTCTGTCGTTTATGACACAGGAAAATCATTCATGATTCAGTCACAGTCCTATTACAATTCCATTTTCTCGACATCATTATAATTAAAGAAAGCCACTAATTTATATTCTTACAGTGATGTGGCGTTTACTATATGTAAGTTCAAAAAAAGTTACTAATTTCATATATTGAGAAAAGTGTAATCTTTCGTCTCTGGTTTCCTCGTACAAAGGATATGATAATGGTTTATTACTGATCAATAGAGATAAATTATAATGATTAAAAACACGTAGAAATACAATAGCATATCTTTTACTTAAAGTCGATTGTAATATACTATATATCCCGGGCGTACTGCAAAAGAACTACTGTACGAATTTCACCAATGAACTTTTATCGAAATAGTTGTGAAACGACAGGTTGAAGAGTAAGACACCAGTGCAACAGTTGGGTATCTTTACTGTTGACTGCTACATCCTTGATATTTTACCACCTCACCTTCGACAGAGTAAGGACTCCATTCTTATCATTCTTGCCGGGTCACCCCATGGAGAAGACCAGGGCCGGGACCCATTCTGGCGAACCTACCTGTACCTACATCCTTCTGCTTCACATAGTTCCAGACTATGGAGCTGAACACTTCTCCAGGCTGAGGGACTGACCACCTCAAAAACTATTTCTGCGTCCAGTTTAGTGTCCTCTGTATTTGACTGAAGAAGCCTACTGTGTGGCCAAAACATTTCAGCCAATATTAAAGATATCCAACTTTACACAAGTGTCTTACTCATAAGTTTTAGTGCAGCATATTGTGCGTTACATCACGTCTAAATTAAATTAAATTATGGGATTTTAGCATTTGAATTAACTTGTAACAAATATGAAACAAAATAAAGACTTTACCAAAATATAAAAAATGATATAAGTGAATGGAAGTAAATATATTCTCTCCTGGATAAGAACGGTTTGTTATAAATGGCCTGGCAAATGAAAATTGATGATTCCTCTGGATAAAATAATATAAAATATGGAACTATAGGAATATCGAGATCTGTTAGAAAAAACTGAAGGACGTTATTATACGAGAATTAAGAGTAATATTAACAATGGATTTACGTTTTTTTCCATTGACTTAAGTGACGTCCAGCACTCGCAAAGCCTCGCGCCCTGGTAAATAACTCCATACTAAATACTCTTATTTTTTTGCACTGTCTTAGCTGACCTTGACCAGTTAGTAACCTTCATGTAGATGGTAACAGAGGAAAGCAGCAGCTGTGAGTTTTTCATAACGTGTTAATGTGAACTTCGTGCCATGGTCGAGGTGTTGCTATGACTCACGGCCGAAATAGTGTTTGCTCGGCTTTGTGATAAGGTTAAGTTTATGCCGTATATGTGTTGAGAGGAAGGCCTGGCCTTTGTTGTGACTTTTGCAAGGTCTGAGTGGTATTTTTGTTTCAAGAAACTCACAGACACGATTGCCACAGGTTATGCCATCGGACTGACGTGTTGTTGTTTATAAGACTTACTAAACACAAACTCGTGTTTTTTTTTTTTTTTTTTAGCAAAAAGTAACTGCACTCGATTATTATTTACTGTTGTGTTCACTTATTTATGTTGTGATCAGTGTCAAACCCCAGACGTAAATGTGGATGCAGCACAGAGAGTATTGTTATTGTTACATGTAAACATTGATCCTCCTGAGTGTGTTACTTGTTACATGTAAACATTGATCCTCCTGAGTGTGTTACTTGTTACATGTAAACATTGATCCTCCTGAGTGTGTTACTTGTTACGTGTAAACATTGATCCTCCTGAGTGTGTTACTTGTTACGTGTAAACATTGATCCTCCTGAGTGTGTTACTTGTTACGTGTAAACATTGATCCTCCTGAGTGTGTTACTTGTTACGTGTAAACATTGATCCTCCTGAGTGTGTTACTTGTTACGTGTAAACATTGATCCTCCTGAGTGTGTTACTTGTTACATGTAAACATTGATCCTCCTGAGTGTGTTACTTGTTACATTTAAACATTGATCCTCCTGAGTGTTACTTGTTACATGTAAACATTGATCCTCCTGAGTGTGTTACTTGTTACATGTAAACATTGATCCTCCTGAGTGTTACTTGTTACATGTAAACATTGATCCTCCTGAGTGTTACTTGTTACATGTAAACATTGATCCTCCTGAGTGTTACTTGTTTCTCATTGTTTACAAGCATGTGGTTTTTCTCACGTTTTCTTTCATACTATTTATTCGCATGTTTTATTTAAAAATTTACACTTTCACATAAGCATTATTCAGAAAATATCTAACCTGAATTTTAGCTATAATATTAGTTGCTAGTTGGAAACTCATTTGTTTATAACGTGAATATACTGAAATAATAATTTAATGGAAGTTTTCAAAGATATGAATTCACTTCATAAAAAAAAGCAATATTAATATACCCTATACTACTTTGAGGTGTATCTGAGGTGAGTAGTAAGACAAATATTGTCTTCAGGAGCAGTGAGTCGCAGCATGCCTGGGTCACTAGTGTCAGTACAGGCTGGTGCTGGTGGTAACATGAGGACTCAGTCGTTCCCTAACAATGCCAACGCTCTCAACTCATCCTTTGCAGGACGCTCCAATAGTGCCAACGCTAATGTTCATGGAAGGACCAACTGGGCAGCCAAGTGAGTGGGGAATGTGAGGTTGGAATAGCATCAACGGGAAAGAAATAGGTGCTGTTGTCAACCTGAAGTACGCTACTCCAGCACTTATTGATTAGTAAATTAATAACATGATGCTTTATAGGACAGAAAATATTTTACATTTTTATCAAATATATATTATTTCAAATTTTCTGTGCTGCTTCATTGCAGTCCAATGTCTAGAAATTAATTCTCTAAATTTGTACTTACTCTGTATATCTTACTTCTCCATATTCACCTTTAGCTTCCATCTTTTACAAGTTTCCCAGCTGCTCCATCAAGCACTCCTGCTTCTGTGCTAAATCTCTCAGTCACTTAGTCATTAGGCCGCAGCAACTCCGGCAACTCTCATTATGTACATGATACACTATGAGGTCATACCTCTTTTTAACTACAGCATTCACTTCCTTTACAACCTTATCTATTAACCATGGTGACATGACACATTATTAACCATGGTGACATGACACATTATTAACCATGGTGACATGACACATTATTAACCATGGTGACATGACACATTATTAACCATGGTGACATGACACATTATTAACCATGGTGACATGACACATTATTAACCATGGTGACATGACACATTATTAACCATGGTGACATGACACATTATTAACCATGGTGACATGACACATTATTAACCATGGTGACATGACACATTATTAACCTTGGTGACATGACACATTATTAACCATGGTGACATGACACATTATTAACCATGTTGACATGACACATTATTAACCTTGGTGACATGACACATTATTAACCATGGTGACATGACACATTATTAACCATGGTGACATGACACATTATTAACCATGGTGACATGACACATTATTAACCATGGTGACATGACACATTATTAACCCTGGTGACATGACACATTATTAACCATGGTGACATGACACATTATTAACCATGGTGACATGACACATTATTAACCATGGTGACATGACACATTATTAACCATGGTGACATGACACATTATTAACCATGGTGACATGACACATTATTAACCTTGGTGACATGACACATTATTAACCATGGTGACATGGCACATTATTAACCATGGTGACATGACACATTATTAACCTTGGTGACATGACACATTATTAACCATGGTGACATGACACATTATTAACCATGGTGACATGACACATTATTAACCTTGGTGACATGACACATTATTAACCATGGTGACATGACACATTATTAACCATGGTGACATGACACATTATTAACCATGGTGACATGACACATTATTAACCATGGTGACATGACACATTATTAACCATGGTGACATGACACATTATTTAACCATGGTGACATGACACATTATTAACCATGGTGACATGACACATTATTAACCATGGTGACATGACACATTATTAACCATGGTGACATGACACATTATTAACCATGGTGACATGACACATCTCAAAGGCCCATTTTTATTTGAGAATATTTTCCTTCTTCCTTCATATACTAAGCTGAGTTTCACTCATACAGGCTCTTCACTGCTTGCACCAATTGACAACACTTCATACATTCTGCAACATTAGCAACATTGCACTTCTATCCACCTCATCGTATGTTTTCTCCGAATCCATAAATATAACAAACAGCTCCTTGTCCCTGTCTAGGTACTGCTCACTCGTATGATAAACTGTAAAACGTGATTAACAAATTACGGTACCTAACTAACGCCACCTTTATCCCCTACACCCTTCAAGGGAGGTTCCCTGACGTTGGTGAGGGGCTCTTGATTTAGGGAATGGGATCTGTGCTCCAGTTCCCTGAATTGAGCCTGAATACCATCCATCCCTTTCCCCCCCACACATGTGCTGTATAACCCTACGGATTTAGCGCTCCCCCATGATTATAATATATATAATAATTATCCCCTACAGACGTGTTTCTCTGTCTTACCTGATATGGTTATGATGAGAATTCAACCATAGATTTTTCGTGGTGTACTGAAGACTAATATCATCCTTCGTATCTTACACTCGCTTGTCACTTTTTGATGTTTTCTGTGGCAGTTATTGGGTATTGTTCTTTCACACAGTAAGCAAAGCTTTATCTCTTGCTTTCAGAATTTCATTCGTAATCCCAGACATTTCCACTTTTGGGTTACTGTCTAACTCACTTCATTTATACTTGCATGCGGCTCTTCCCTTCCCATATAAAATTCCATTCCTCCCTGCTATGATTTTTTTTTTTTGCCCTGATTTTTGTATATTAGGTGGCACAAAAATCAGTTGCTGTGAACATGATATTTCACCTGAGTTACTACCCAGTAATATATGAATTAAAGAGGGGGAAATATTCATAACCCAATAATTATGTGGTTAAAACATCTATTTACATTATTCAAAACACTAAACTTATGAAGTATATAATTATGGTTATTGTTTGGCTTCATTAATGGATGTAAAAAAAAAACCATGTTAACCCCATGTTAAATATCGTTTCCACAGGTACCTCGCTTAACTGTTTATACGCAGGTAGTATAATAATGTGTATCGTAAGTGTATCACTCACAGTAACTTTGATTGTATCTACCACTGGCACTCTAAGTGTGCCACTCTCACAATAATCTTAATTCTACTTACCACTGGTCCTTTAAGTACGCCACTCACTGGAACCTTAGCTTTCACTACCACTGGCACCTTCAGTGTGCCACTCACAAGAATATTAATCTGTTTTGTCACTGGCACATTCAGTGCCGCTCTCACAGGAGCCTAAACTCTCACTACCACTGGCACTTACAGAAACCGTCATCATCACAAGTGCCTCAGTTTATTCTCGTTATCATTATGCACCTGATGTGTGTGTGTCACTGTCACGGATACTTCAAGTACCTGCCACTTTCACATGTACCACCAAGTTAGTGTTAATATCACACAGGTGTGAAGTAAAACCTGCGTCCCTCCATAAAACTCTTCGTCCCATACTCATAAACTCACAAGAGAAACTTATTATTAAACCTTGTAAATACTACGTTATCATATCTCACAAAAATATATAATAGCTACAGTGGTGTGCTCATCTGAATAACACTAACACTAGAATATATTATAGACAAAATTAGCTGATTGTTTATTAATAAAAAGCAAAGAGCAAAAAAATAACAAAATCCTTAACATAGACCTTGGTCGTGGGTGACTCTCGAATCAACGACCCATCCAGGAACAGACTTACCCAAGCACACTGTATTCTTCACAGAAATAGAGAGCCCTCTACTCTAAAGAGTATATGAGCTTACTTTCATGTTGTTCCTACTAACGTTGTATATATGTTATCCTGATTGTTACTACACAGCTATACACTCTCATGGCATATACTGAATTTACCTATACAGAATACATCTTCAGTCTCGTAGTCGACTCTGTATTAAGCGTACCACTTGGCTTGTAATTCCCTATATTCACTAGGTGTCCAACAACCGAGTGAATGACGGTCTTACTACCACACAAATTTACATTGTCTCGCGATACATATACTATTTAGTCTAAAGATACACAAACTGCAGAAAATAAACTGTATAGGTGAGGTCTATACACAACATCAGCCCCACGCACTTGGAATAAACTTTAATGGTTGAACACCGAATCGAATCGCCTTATGCTGACCTAATCTATGGACAGCTTTATGTTTTCCTATTGTGTGCATTATCCCTGGGTCTGATTGCCCTCTCCATCCTGCCCGTGGCTTATGTGTGAGGAAGCTTCGGAAATTGCGCTTCCGTTTATGACTAAGCCACGAGACAAGGATCTGGGCTGTCATAATTATTATTATAATCAAAACTAAGCGTTAAACCCACTAGGGCCATACAGTGGGCTGACATAGAGAGTTTGCCCTGTATATAAGTTTATTCTTCGAGAGAACGTTTCACCTATGTAAATAATTTATTAAAGAACTTTAAAAATCAGCACTTTCTGATGACATGTAGTTTCCAGCTGCCATTGGCCAACTCTTCAAGAACTAAAAGAGTTTCTCTGGATGTGATATTATAAGCTTGGGCAAATGGACACGAATCATTCACGTCTAGCTACCTCACCCTATTTTGTGGACCATTTAAGCGCATCTCAATGTATTTATGTATGATATACCGCCTGACTCTTAATACTTGATTTAATTCCTCAAACGGTGTATATATCAACAACAATATCCAGAAGAAAAATATATAACTGTACGTATAGTATATATAGCCTGGCTTGAACAAGAGTTTCCAGAGCAGTCACCCCAAGAAAGAGTCATTAATGTGAGCATCCCGAATGTACGTCATTATCACAGACACCTCA